ATCCCTTGAATGTTTGTTTTGTCAAGGAATGGTTCTTGACTAGGGAAACTTATATGTCAAGAGGACAATGGGAGTCTTAAAGATCCTGAAAGGATTTCAAGATTTAATCAAGAGTAAAACCTGAGTTTTATCACTAGCACACGACTTAAGGTTTGAAACCTATTAAGTTGACATAATTCTTGTTTCTGTGTCTGTTCCTATTAAGTTGACTATGCATATGAGTTCTGTTAGTTCTAAACTGTGTGCATAACAGCTTGGAAGCATTGGTGGGCTTTGTGCTACCAGATGACAAGAAATTAAGATTGAACAAGTTCAATCCATGTAAGGCTGAATTTGTTACTAACCTTGTCTTGTGATTATGGTTTTGACAAATTCACATGGATAGGAACTCATACACCATAAAATCTAAGTGTCATAAGGTTTCTCTCCGATTCATGAAAATGATGGTGAGGAAATGCTTTCACTAAGAAGATTTTAAGTAGATAGCAATTGTGATGTTTGCATTCTCAAAGTCGTTAGTGGAGCGTGTGTGGTTAACCGGCACACTAACATGGACTTGTGAGAAATGGCAAAGGTCTAAACAATTAAGACTATGATTACGGCATCCCTTTTCATAGTTCTGGAAATTGTTTAGACACACATGTGAGCTATCTAAGAAAGGGTGTACGAATCTAAATTTCAGAAGTCCAGCTGATTTCTGGAAATATGTCAGAGCTAGTGGGAGCATAAGTGTTATGCTGATAATCATCATGTTAGTGGGAGCATGATTATTATGTTTAGTGTTGCAAGTTAGCAATGTTAATTATAAAAAACAAAAGTTTCAATTCGTAAAGTTGTAGGGGTTGAAAAAGTTGTTTTGCTATAATTAAGGGAGAGGAAATTATACTTCATTTCAATTCTAAAAGCTTAGATTGAGTTTTAATCATCTTTAGTCAATGATATATATATATATATATATATATATATATATATATATATATATATATATATTATATATATTATATATATATGAATTTTATGTTGGAATGGTTCAACATAAGGAAATTCTATATATATTGCGTTCTCAAATTCGATTATGATTACAGCATCCCTCTTCATAGTCGATTTTTGAAAACATGGAAAATAAAAAAATATTGTAGCAAAAGACTGATCCAGTATCAGGTCTTTATGTGAGACATCGTGAATCGTGTCCCATATGCTTCAGGTATAGGATCGGTCACATGTGCTATAATATTCATCCTTTCTAAATTTTCCAAATGCTCAGAGCATTAAGAAGGGAAAAGTCTAGAATTGGATAAGACTAAAATGATTAAGCAATTGTCGAGGACTATCTAAGGCTCACCAAAGATTGGTTGCTCAAGGACAGTTGGAAGTATAGTGTTAAATTTTGGAAGGACCATATGGATATATTCTGAAAAGAGGTAGCTCTTGTTCAGATATGATAATCAAAATAGGAATATGGAAATTTTCCATATTGGGAGTTGGATATTAAGAATCTATGAGAAAGTTAGAAACTTTTATGCAAGAAGGATGTTCAAAGCAATGTACTTTGAATATGAGAGTTCGTTTCCATAGAGTTGATCTCCTTTGGAATCCTCTGTAATGACTGATGACAAGGTTTTGGTGACCTTGTGCATAATCATTACGAGAGGATCAGTGCATATAAGTTTAAAATCTAACAGTTTTTTTTGGTAAATGGTAGGAATTAGGAATTCTTACATTTACAATAAGGATTTGGGATTGTGAAATGAGCATCATTGGAATCATGTTCAATTGATCTATTTCACAAAGTAAAGGTCATAGACAAACATAGTGTGCATACTTGGAGTATGGCATAACTATTGTTTAGAAAAACAAAGTGTACATGCTAGGAGCATGGGACGACTGTTGTTTTTGTTCAAGTATTAAGTTGATTATTTGAAACATTATACAATGAATAATGTGTAATCAATATGGTGATAAATAAAAGGTGGTTTTATTTATATTCAAAAGGGTTCTGAGACCATATTGGATTCGATTATTATTGTGTTTCACTTTGCATGTTTTGACTTCCAGGATAGCTAGGTTATTCTTGCCGAATGACTAAGTTATTTAAACACTCCACAGTCGTTCATATGTTGGAAGTAGGTATGAATTAAGACTGTCATGAATCGAGTTTGTAGATGGCTAAACGTGTTTAGACATAGCAATGGTTGCTACAACATTCATGAGTACTCATAAGTTATGAGTATTGGAATTAACCCACGCTCACTTGTATCACTTCATGGAATTTATCTCGAGTGATCGTGAGACGGTAATATCATATAAGTCTTCAAACCTAGAGATATGAGTTGTTACCTATGAGTTGGTTGTGCATTGATTGCACGTAAACGCATCAGTAACTTGATGTTATAAAACGTGCCTTTGTGTATAATTCAACAAGTATAGAAACAAGTATATGAGTCGAAGTTTATCTGTTCCTTCTAGTCCTTGGAGGATTAGAAGCGATATCTGGGCCCCTCGATGATTTTGTTTTGACCTATGTACCGGGCCCGGTCAGAACCTAATTGATGTGTTCAATTTAGTTCTTCATCAAATAAATTGGAAATCGGGAAACAAACTGCTGGACAATAAGTACGACGTTGTTCCATGTATTTGTCCGGCTGATATCATGAGAACAGAGGATTATATGATCACTTATCTAAAATGGCGCTTCATAGTTCAACAGAGTTTTCGAGAGCTACGATTGCTGGTTGGTTCCTGAAGTAACATACGCAAATACAGTTATTAGACTTATCCAAGTGGGAGACTGTTGGATAAGGTGTCTAAGTCCATAACTTATTTGGTATATACTTGACCCGACCCGGCATGGTCCATTTGGGTTGCACTTCACCCAAACTGTTTATGGATAATTTTATGATAATTGTATACTTACGATTTATTAATATATTATAAGTTATAATATATTAATATAAAGTCATGTTATTTAATTAGTTTTAATCTTGAATTAATTATGAATTAATTTAGTGATTAAAAGGAAGACTAATTAAATCATGGGCTATTATATTTATATGGTGTGGGCTAATACTCATTTGTTAATGGGCTAAGCTTATGTGGAAGTCCATGGATGATCCATGGAGCTTTTAACCCATGGATCCTTGGAAAGGAAAAGACATGGGTTATTAGGGTTTCACCCTAACCATGCACACTATATAAACAAGCTCATGTTGCATGAAATACTACCCTAGTGTGTGTGTAATAGTGGTGGCCGATTTCTAAGTGTTAGTATACTCTCTCATACATTTTCCAAGTTTGTGGTGATTTGTGATTTCCATTTGAGGCATTCACATTATTGGTGCTTGGCTCTCAAACTCCAAGGAATCAACAATCAACAAAAGGTATGTAATTCATCTAGTCCTTTTATGTTTAAAAGTACCCCATGCCATGCTAGATAGGTTATAAACCTTGGAAATTAATATTTTGCATGTACCTTAGACAAACATAGATCCAAGGTTTATTAGGGTTGCATGTACACTTAGGAAGTGTTAGAATGCTCAAAGCCCAATAGTAATAACCTTAGTTCCAAACTCTAACCTAAGGTCTTAATGGGTTAAGACTTAACGTCCAAACTTCAGATCCAAGTCTAATAAAATGTCTAAAGCCATAAAGTTGCAACCTTTATGCCTTTGCATGGCAAAAAGGAAGCTAAAAACCAAAACCCTAACTTATATCATCATCTAAACTTCCATAACTCTTGCATGGATGAATACTAGGGACCAAGATTGCATTTTTACCTCAAAACTTGAAAATACTCAAGACTCTCAAAAGGTCTTGGGACAAAAGGGAAGCATCAAGATTTGAACTTTATACCTTCTGAAGATGCACAAGGATAAGTAGAATCTGGATCCAAAAGCTTGAGTACAACACCACCTCTGCAAGGATCTTCCTTCACCACCAAGAACATTAAAATAACATCAAGAGCTTCAAATCTTGCACACGAGGATTATGGTTTCGAGATAAGGGTAAAGAGGGATGGAGGCTGGAGGTGAGGAAAGGTTTGAGGCCATAAAGTCCTTTACATAGGGTCCAAACTCTAAAAATTAGGGTTTGTCCTTTGCTTGCGTACGCCTAGCGTACACACACCTACGCCCAGCGTATGTGAGGGATTTCGTAACCATCAATTAAGGACCTATGCCCGACGTACCCATCTCGTACGCCCAACGTAGGGACCAATTTTGCAAACTTTTAAGGAATCATAGCTAAAATGAAAATTACCTGGAACATTGGCGTTACAGACTGATTTTCAGGCCTAAATACATAAAAAAAAATGAAAGTAGTATCTAGGACTACGCATTTGGGACTAGCTAGAGACTAGCATAATCAGTCTTGGATGCCCATTAGAGACTGATTATTAACTATCCGAGACTGATTTCGTCAGTCTTTGATACTCTTTTTTTCCTATAGTGATGGTCCACAACATCTGTGTGGATTAGGTCCAACAAATCATTGCCTCTTTCATAGTGACCTATGAATGGCGCCTTGGTCATCTTTCCAAGTAAGCAGGATTCACATACATCATCCGACTTGTGGTCAAATGTTTCCAAGATCCCATCTGATTGGAGCTTGGCGATGCGCTTCTTGTTTATATGGTCAAGTCGACAATGTCATAAACATGATTTATCTAATTCACTATTAGAAGAACCAACATTTAGTAATAGCTTATCAATTTCACCTACGCAACCAAAACTTTGATACACACCTTTACAAGGACTAGCATTTAATATAAACAACCATTCTTATAAACCAAAATGTCATCATTATCATTATCAAAAGAAAAACGACAACCATCCTTATAAAGTGCATGAAAAAAAATGTTACGTGCCATATCAGGCGAAAAGCAACAATTTAATAAACTAAGATAAACACCATCACCAAGCATGATCTCATAGTCCTCAATCCTTGTAACAACTGACTTGTGCTTGTTTCCCATGATCAGGTTGAGCTCCACATGCCTCAACTTCCTACTTTGTCTTAATCCCTACATGTCAGAGCAAATATGAGTACCACATCATGTATCAAGAATCCAAGAGTTAGAAATAGATGTGTTATGGAATTATAGCATAAACATACCTGAGGTGCCAACCACCTTGAATTTTCCCTTCTTGAGGTCCTCCACGTATTTAGGGAAGCTACACTTACAGTGTCCCTTGTTCTGGCAATAGAAACAAATGACCTCATTTGGATCAGTGGAAGGGGCTATCTCGGTTTGGATCGTTCTCTTAGGGCCTTGGTCAAACTGTCCGGCCTTAGCCTTTCCCTTTCTTTTGTGATGAGAAAACATTTTCCTTTTAGTATAACCACGATCAATGGCCAAGACTAGAGCAGTAGGGTTGGAGTTGTTGGGTTTCTTGATGCTCGCTTGAACTGTTTTGAGCATGTCATGCAACTCCATCTAGGTCTTATCAAGATTGTTCATATTGTAGTTCATGATGAACTATGAATATGAACCGCAGAACGAGTTCAATACCATGTCGATGGTTAACTCCTTTAGTAGCTCAATGACCCTATTTAATCTTCCCAAATCTTAGCATATTATGAAGACATGTCCTTTTTATCAACGGATATAAAAAAGAAATCAATACGAAGGGTAGGATAAAACAAAGGTACATGTACATGATGGTCTCAAAAGATGTTCGTTGATTAATTATTGTCATCCTTCTAGAAAAGCGTATTGATACATCGTAAACATTAATCATGTTAATTATTGTCTAGAGCGGAGTCAAGAAATGGATGTAAACATAACAATATGGTCACGTTAAGTATTTGATCGAAACACATATATAGAAGAAAAATTATTAGAACGCGTAACATATATTTAAGCTGCTTCACAATATTAGATTGCACACATAAGACGATTGTAAAAGTACATATTTAGGGTTCTTCCGTTTCGATAATCAGAAATCAGTATTAAGGCAAGCAGATATTAGTCAACTCCTTGTTAATTAATCATTATGAGGTTATTACAGCTCGATCCAGTGGAAATGAGTAAAGGAGAAACCTCAACTCCGTCATCATTATTACCTAGGGAACACGAAAAGAACAAGTCAAGATTATGCTACTAATTTGACAAATACATCATATATTCATATTGATAGACACACAAGACGAAAAGATTAACAAATATGCGTTTTCCAACATTGAGAAATAGACTTCTTGCAGTAAAAATTTTAGGGTTTATCCAAAGTGGAGCATACCTACACTAACCGAAGAGGGGTTTGGTCTTGGCAGGAGTAATCATTATCGGGTTGCAACTCGTTTGTGTGAACGTAGCTTCGACTGTCAAAGAGTTGGTGAGGTGTTACTAGCTCATAATCTGAACTTCCAGGCATCAAGCTCATGTGGTGCTGCTGAGCTCTTTCATTTTCAGCTATCTAAACAATCGTTAAACAAATCACTTGATAGAACTCCGATGGTTCATATGTGTGTGTGTGTGTGAGAGAGAGAAGAGAGAGAGAGAGAGAGAGAGAGAGACCTTTGCGCGAAGAAACTGATTGCTGTTATGCAATTCAAGTTCCTGCATTACGAAAAAGTTTAGAAAAGATTCATAAACGGGAATTCGATTATAGATTTGCATGAACGTAGAAATATACATTATACATAATGCTAACAGAGAAACTCATTTTTTTTCATTGAACATTTGAGATATTATTTATTCATTAGGAACTGATATCCTTACTAAATTTACGTGGTTAGATTAATACGGAATATGCTCATAGAATAGAAGACAACATAATTGAAGATGGAGTTACAGTTTTAAGAGTGAGCTACAGGTTCGGAGCCACTTACTCTTTTTTGCATATACTCGATTTCAGCAAACAACAGTTCATTCTGCGATTTATTTATCAGACATGTTTATTATTTGATGATTTCAAAGGTTTAATTGAAATGAATTCTTAATAGATGACAAAGATACTACCTTTTTGGATCGAATCCTGCTAATCGCTTTCTCTAACTTAGTTTCAAGATTCTTGAGGTCCTTCACCGGCATGTCTGCCAAAGATTCCCCCATGATGTTCCTGTAGAATTGCCTTTTTTCCCCAAAAGTGTTATAGCTTTGTGTTCACAAAGATATATGAAGTATCTATATAAGGACACTTCTAATTCAGAAAGGTACCTGTTCTGGTTTTGAAGATTTGCAATTTGCTGGCGCAGTTTGGCAGCTTCTTGCTGGTAAAACTGTAGTTAAAAGATTATAGAATTTCATTAACGCGCTGGAATAATGTATTAACCTAATCATATACTGTTAGTAAACTACTATAATTACTAATCCCTTTGTTTATCAAAGGCCTATTGAAAACACGATAATTTTACAGCAACATATACAAATTATTCTTGCAAATTTCTTATAAGGTTGCAGGGTAATTAATTAATTAGTTACGAAAGGTTACCTGAGCATTGGCTTCAGCAACCGAGCCACTGCTAGGTGGATCTAGGCATGCTTTCTTGTACCTATCGATTGTCCCTCTAACACTGCAATAACAATAAGAGAAGCTTCAATGTTGTATTTCATTCAACATTCAACACATTAACTATACAATTTTTCACTTATTAACTGAACAACTTAAATAATAAAAATATAGCAAATATAATTAGAGCCTTACAAAAAGTAAACAATATGTAACTGATTGGCCCAAAAGAACGTAAGCTGTAAAATATATATAACAATGTGTTATTTGAGTCTTGTGAGTTAACATGTTAATTTTATAAGTCAAGCTAATAAAAATTATATGTTTGTTTTTAATTTGGTGTTCAATGTTTTCTTGGTTTTGCACAAAGGATAGAATGATGTTCATACAAAAACACATACATTGAGGTGTAGTACTCTTTGTATACTCAAATCTTAAAAGTATTTGAAATAGTAGGATTTGTGTGTGATTTTAAGGAAACACAAAATGTACTTCAGTGAATAAAATCTTACTTTTTCTCGGAGATCCTAAGGATACCATTTAAACTCACATTGTATATTGCCTTAATTTGGCTGAAGTTACTGATTGGTTGTGTCTGCCACGCTGTCAACACTCCTATCATTATGATTGGTTACCATTTTCTACGGATAGATTATTGCCACGTCTCGCTAACCCATTACACATTGGATAATCCAGTCAACTCTCACCCTTTAACCCTCCTCGTAGATCCGAGATCTCTGTTCTTTTTTCTCTTGTAAACCCTGAGTAAATCAGAGCCGTCCTTTTCATTGCATTAGACATGGTTGTACGATTTCCCTCTCCCCCAAGCGTTAGATAGTCTCTCTCTCTCTCTCTCTCTCTCTCTCTCTCTCTCTCTCTCTCTCTCTCTCTCTCTCTCTCTCTCACACACACACACACACACCACACACACACACTTTCTCTCCCACACACACCACACTTGCGCAAGCATTTACCTACGCAGGATCTATGATTAATGCTCTAAATTTGAGATACACGGCATTATCATTATTTGGTATAACCTCTCTCTCTCTCTCTCTCTCTCTCTCTCTCTCTCTCTCTCTCTCTCTCTCTCTCTCTCTCTCTCTCTCTCTCTCTCTCTCTCTCTCTCTCTCTCTCTCTTAATTATAGGTTGATGTTTTAGTTTGAACAGCGCATGATAAGCTTGGAAAAAGTTTTTATTGGACAATCCAAAGGGAAAGAGTAGTTCTTGTTCTATTTCACCATGGAAGAACTTTTTAACTGAGTATAAGAACTAATCACTCAATAAACTTGAAAGTAAATCTGGGTTTTTCTTTTCTAAAGAAAAAAGTCTGGGTTTTGATTTTATTAAAAGAAATTGTCATCCAGGTATGCATTGTTGTTAGTTTATAGAAAAGAAATGACAAACTTATTGCTAAATAATTAATTAAAGGGATTTCCAAAAAATGATCTAATCTCTCACCTGGATGATAAAACCCTAATATACGTCGTCTAATCTGCATTCAGATATAAAATATACTCTTTTCATAAATATAATAATAATAATAATAATAATAATACCATTTTTTATTTTTAATATGCGCAAACAATATTTTTCTCCTTTTTCTGCGGTGATTCAAGTTTTTATTAAACCCTAATTTTAGGATCATTATAAATAAAATCCGTTTGATTAGCCATCTTTCTTCAAAAATCCCAAAATATAGAGATATCCGTTCTATTTCATCCAACATTTAATTAACATAGAGCTCAGGATTCGTGCATGTCAAATCATCTTCTGGTGAAGATGAACGTAACTTGTGTGAAAATCCCTCTTGGGTTATCACTTTTTAGGTCAAGGGTAAAAAAAAAATTAGGGTTTATTCAAGAAATACTAAACTGTTTTTTTTTTCAAACATAAAGTTCTGAGATTATTGCTTAAACTAGTTTAAAAACCTAAATTTTGTTTTTCCTTTCTTGACTAGACTTTGATGACATCGCTTTTCAAAGTCCTTTCACTTGGCTTTGGACAATGAGTAACTGACATATGTTTACTTAGGAAGTGTCAAAGTGATGGATCTCTTGAGCAATAGGAACTTGACAACCACTTGTGTGTGTGTGTGTGTGAGAGAGAGATAGAGAGAGAGAGAGAGAGAGAGAGAGAGAGAGAGAGAGAGCTCAAACAGTGATGAAGATAAGAGGGAAGCTGATCTCAGACGTCTGCACATACACTTCCTATATCTTTGCTTACTGGTTTGCAACATATCTAATGGTGGCTTCTACGTTGCCATCTATAACAACAGATTTTGTGGGTACCAAAATATGAAACAAAAGATTGGATCTAAAAAGATGAACCACAAAATTATAAATATAAAAAAATCTCTTTGTGGGAAAGAAACAAAACACAAAATATAAGAGAGACAAGTGAATCTTTGTTCACAAGAAGAATAAAAACTCAAAAAAAAAAATATATCACTATAACCTAAAGGTTGTGTCCTTTGTTCTTAAATTTTTACCACAAGTAACATTCATTTTATGTACTATTTTTCACAACCCTAAAAAAGATAGATGAACTTTAACCTAATTTTTAGTTGCCATCAAGTATCATTTTATAAACAAAATAAAACGTATACCCACAAAGCATTGAAATCCCAATTAACAATAAGATGATTCAAAAATTACCCAGAAATTACTTTACCTGTTGTTAGCATACTCATAAAGGCGGCCACGGCTTGAGAAGACAATAAGAGCAACCTCAGCATCACAGAGAACAGACAATTCATAGGCCTTCTTGAGCAAACCGTTACGACGCTTACAAAATGTCACTTGTCGATTTGTGGTATTCTCGATCCGTTTGATCTCGATCTTTCCCTTCCCCAGCTTTCTCTGTGGAGAAATGTCCCCGGATTCATTCTGAAACGACATGGATCGATCGATGCAACTGAAATCAAGCTCACACGCATCAGAATTTTCCATGAATACCTGAAGTAAATTATACAGACTTCACACTAAAAAAACAAGAGATTAAACTTGCTGATTGTTTGAGCTCAAGAAAAAGAATGGGTGGGTTGAGGAATGAATTTTTATGTATAATTGAGGAGAGAAACTAATCAAGTTTCAAATTATTCTCTCTTGCTTTTTGAGGCCTCTCACACACAAATCTAAACAGGAAAGATGCAAAAAATGGAAGGGGGAGGTGGGTGAAAGAGGAGTTATAAAAAAGTAGACAATGACCCTTTGTCCATGATATTAACAAACTCTCTTAATTTTGATCGTTATCTCTTAATACCAAATCCATTTTCTTCATAAATTTTGGAATATTTATACAAGAAAAACAATATTTCTATATATGGATCTCACTCATCTTCTCTCTCTTTAAAAACACTATTCAGATTTTCAGTGTTTATAAGAAAAGGTTGAGAGAGAGAGAGAGAGAGAGAGAGAGAGAGAGAGAGAGAGAGAGAGAGAGAGAGAGAGAGAGAGAGAGAGAGAGAGAGAGAGAGAGAGAGAGAGAGAGAGAGAGAGACCTTTGAAACTGAAGTGCTCTATGATGGGTGAATGAACTTTGGACAAAATTACACTCAATCTATATATCTTTGTATTTGTGATAGGCAACAGTTTGTGAGTTACAGGCGGACCCTTTGTACTCCCCCTTTCTTATTAGAAACGTTGTCATTTTGACCTTGTAGTCAAACATTTGCCTTCTTTGGTGTTGATTTAACTATGAGATAATCGACAAGATGTCCACTTTTATAAACGCATGAAAAACAAATTGACAGTCATTTTACATAAGGCCAAAACACCACAATTTAAGAACGAAGTTTGGCAGTCCTTTATTGTGGCCACCCATTAATTATTCAGAGTGGTAGAATTTTCATAAACCCTAAACATCTTGAAAATAGTACTTCTTAATTAGTATTTCTCTTTATATGGCTTTCAAAACTCATAGAAAGAACAAGACGGAGACATGTTTTATTTCCATCAGTTAGCACAATGGAAGTAAGAACTTTTATCTATAATATTTTGAAATTATGCGCAAAAAACTACTTTTTAAGCTTAAAACTCATAATGAAAGAACATTTTTGAAACATAGGAAGAACAAGTTCGAAATTCAGGCAAATTACAAGTTCAAAACGCTTATAAAATACATTTTTTTTTCTTGTTTTTGTGGTTATGTAGACCTTTAAGAATCATCTCAGACTTATTTCGGGAGACCATACAACCCATAAATCAATTTTTATAACTAAGAATTAACAAGTTTGCACCTCATAAGAACAAGTGGAACACATACGAACTCAAGCACAAGTTTGATATTAATATGAAGTATATGTTTTGTTTATGACACTAGTACAATGATCTACGGTCACACTTTCGGAAAAACGGTCTGTCACACTTTTTATTAAAAGTGTGGCCAAAGGTCATCAAAAAAATTTACAAACTGTTTTTGGATACATTTAAATTAGTTTGTGTGACCATTGTATAGATAATCAAAACTTTAACAACACTTAATTATACCAAATGTGACAAATATTAGTCACACTTGAACATTGAGGCCATAGGTCACAATTAGCCACATGTATCGATTAAGATTGTCATACTTTTTTTATAAGAGACAATAGATAAGCGTATTATGACATGAGGCAGTAGTATGTGTGTCTATAACCTGATCGCTAAAAGGTGATACATATGGTCACACTAAATATTTGTGTGTCCATAGGGCGGTTCTGTACTAGTTGTACTTAGTTAACGCAAGAAAAGAAAACAAGTTAGTATTGGTTGTTTATGGTCATGTACCTTTTATTATGTGTGCCAAAATATGACACTACAAGAATAAGTATCTATAGTGACAAAGCCTAAAGGGACGACGAGGGTCGTCACTATAGGAGGAGCTATGGGGACGACTTGTAGTTTCAATAGGGTTGACCAATTTATTTTTGACCTGAGATTCGTAGACGACTTGGCGGGTCTCAACTGGTTAGGCGGGAGATTTCACGGGTTCCTGAAAATTTATAAGGACGAGATTTCGTCTCAACTAAAACAAAATAATTTAATACGTTTTTTTAATAGCCACAACTCTGTACAGATCAGGAAGCTAGGTCTCATCCATTTTTCACAATCGCATACCATTCACCCCTTTCTCTCTATTAAACGACCCCTACTTGAGGCCGACCACCACCACAACGATGTTCGCCTGCCGACCTCTACAACGACCACCGCCTGCGACCTGCGACGTGATGTCTTCGGGAGGAGAATTCGAGTTCCATGTGTTGATTTTGACTTCCTGCTTTGGGCTTGGTGTTGATTCCGGCGACCTGCAAAGATTTCGGCACCTGGTTCCGTCAACTGCTTCAATTCCCCTGATTCCAGCTTCGTCTTTCTGTCCAGCAGCTCCCATTTTCTCTAGGTATGTATCACTAATTTTGTTGTTGGGTTAATGATTTTGTGATGTGTTAGTAATTTAGGGTTACTGATTTTTGTACTCCCACTTCAATAAAAGTTCTTTCACTTTTCACATCCTCCATCGGAGACACTGTACATGTTAGAATACCCAAGAAACTTAAAGCTAAAGCTAGTACCCAAGAAGCTTTAAGCTAAATGGACTGTGTTACAAGTATGATTATAAGTCTCTTTTTGTTTTCATAACTCCAAAGATTACATTTAAAATGTTTTAATCATATTCATATGGTGTTAAAATGTTAATGCAGAGCCGTATGAGGCCATGACATCCATTCTGGAGGCCGTAAAAAAAAATAGTAAGATCATCTAAGAATCATGTTATTCATTTCATATTAAATTTTCAATGTTTGCTAATATTGTTATAAATGATTGTGGTTTTTAAGGAGGTGAGGAGACCATTGCTAGTAGTGCTCCCAGTGAAGGTGAGGGGGAAGGGGACAATGCCATTGGCATTAGGTAATATTTCAGCATTTTTGTAACATTTTTTGATGTTGTTGATATGCAGGCAACATATTCAGATAGTGATAGTTCATTTGAAGATGGATCCAAATGCAGGTCATTCACCTACAAGTTGCTCCCAATTACACTTCATTGAAACCATCGGTACATAGTGTTGGTAAAAACTGTTTTGGTCAAAATTGCCCCTGCACACTGTTGCTCCGGCTTGTGTTTGGAGGAGAAGGACTTGAGAGACGGGTTGTTCACAGTTTCCAATGTAGAAGAGGCTGAGAAGATTTTGTTGGCTCAGACGCCGGAAAAGTTGAGGGAATTGATGAAAGTTTTTTTTGTAAAGCCTGTCAAAGGAATCCCAAATTACTTTCTAGCTGATTTCATTGATGTAAGTTTATTACATATTTACATCTATTTATTCTTATAAGAATGTAAGATGTTTCTGTGGCATCAACCCATAACGTGGTTGTAACTTGACTGGTTATTTTTTATGCTCGTATATTGTGATCAGGGTCTAGAAAATGAGAATGTTAAATGGTTAAAACGAATGATGAAATTGATAGGTTTCTTGCATTTGTCATTTTGGAACATGTAGGTGATGTGTTCAGAATATTTAAAAGAAAAGAGAGAGCTTATTCAATCAATTCTCAAGGATAGACAGTATTCAGAATATTCAAGAATGCCAAAGGTTAATCAGGTTTGAACTTAGAACCTTTTCTTTTATGGTACTAAATCCTTTTTCAAGCACGTACCTAAACTACAACAAATTCAACTTTCAGTAGTCCTCAATGATTTTGAGCCCAAATTGAATCTATTAGAAAATTACATGCACTAATAACAATTATTAATTGGTTTTCCTAATTATTTGTTACAAAAAAACGTTGTATAGTAATGCCATTATGCCATCCTTGTTTTTTATGAAAAAGAAAACTGATTTATTATTTGTTATTATATATTACTAATTAAAGATAATACAACTTGGATAAAATCCAAAAGGTAATTGTTAGGGTCGATTGTATGAGATTGTTAATGTGGGTTACTTTGTTGAAAATGAATTTGTTTATTGTGCCAAATCAAACAGCCAACATTGATATTCAAATAGCCCACATTGAATTTGTTTATTGAACTTGTGTATTCAAATAGATTGCCTCAAGCTTGCATTTAGACAAAGAAGTGGTCATACAAGAGGTGTTGGAAGAAAAAGTGAAAAATGTAGCAAGTGTTTGTATCTCAAAAGCCAAACGCCCAAACCATGGCAGTTTTAATGAAAATGAAGAAGCTGAAAGTGGTGATTAGAAAAATAGTTAATGAATTCGATTAACTAATAGAGTGATTGTGTTGTATAAAACATCTAAACAATTTCAAATTATGTTAGTTTGTTTTTGGTAAACCGATTGTGTAAGATATTTTTAAGCTTTTGATTGTATGATGTTGAAATGTTTTATAGTTAAATTTACTATTTGTCGGATTTTATGTAAAAATTCTGGGAAATTAAACAAATAATAGGGAGTGGATGTAAATTGTGTCCAAACACCTATGGGGACGATAAGTCGTCGCTATAGGCGCACCTGTGGGGAATACAAGTCGTCACTATAGGGGTACCTATGGGGACGACATGTCGTCTCTTTAGGTGTACCTATTGCGACGAAGGCTATGGTGACGACAAAATGAGCTAAAGCGACAGAGGTAAAGCGACGAGGCCTATGGTGACGACATGTCGTCCCTGGCATCTATAGCGACGACTTTGCACCCTAAAGTGACGATTTTTGTTGTTCCTATAGGTCTTTATTCTTGTAGTGTGATGAATTGGCTTTGAGAGAAACAAATATTGTGAGTGTAGGTAGCATTTAGTTATGATTACAACTATTATATGTGTCTATATGTAAATATAGTTATAAAAGAACAATAATGTCTTATCGGTATAATTAGGGGTCGTTCATTGAATATGTTACTATAATTATGTAATGTTCATTCTGGTTGTACTATTGTATTTGTAAGTTTAAAGAATAGTCTTCATAAATTGAAAATTTGTTGCTGTAAGACTGAAATTTTTTCCTGGTTAAGTTATTATTCCAAAAATGACAATTTTAGACATTTTGGACGACTGGTAAAATTGACCATTTTTTTTAATCATTTGGCAGAATTAAAAATGAACAAAAATGTCAATCATGCCATTTTACAAAAGTACATTGCTTTATTTGCATTTAAAGGGATGTATAAATAAATGAAAGAAATTGAATGGTAGTTTTGTAAAGTTACCTTAACAGAAACAATTTCTGAAAAAACCAAAAAAAATGAATATAAAAACAAAAACAAATAACAATATAGTTGTATTGAATGGTGGAGTTTCGGTAACAGCCATAAGAAAGGTCCAAATTGCCCTTTTTTGTCATGTATTCTTTTAATTGCACTAGATTATACACCATTAAAAAATGAAAAAAATACAACTTTCTTTAACAGAAAAGTATGATAAATAAATGAAAAGAATACAAGTTTGTCTAACATTGCATGACGAAAGTACATTGCTATAATATGCAGTTTATGTTATAACATGTCATCCACCATTACAGTAAAATACTTCGATCGAGCGGGTCTGTCACGTAAAATACTTGTTGTGCTTGAGAGGCCAATATGAAGGGATCACCTTTATGGCCTAAATAATAGTTTTTTTTCTTTTTTTTGACCTATACATACATATATTCACCTCCTCCCACTGCATTTGCTGCTCCTTTCCTCTCTTCTTTGGCCTCCTTTTCTCTCTCCTTCCTACTTTCATACTCATGATCGTCTTTCCGTAATTCATGTCGACAAATCGGGCACGAATTATGCTCATCCTGACACAATACACAACTACAAATTCTCAAAACACTCAAGGGTAAAATGGTCATTTACTCACATTCTGAAATAACAACTTAATAGAGAAAGTCAGTGAAATGATGTTTTCTCCATTAATTAGGTGTTAAATGAACAAATACTAGAAACTCTTTCTTTCTTTGACCAAATAAACTTTATGAATAAGAGTAAATGACCATTTTACCCTTCTATATAAAAATGATGTTGAACTTTGAGAGATTGAAGGGTATGGAAGGAGGTTGCTAGGGCTGTGAAGACCTGCATACGCACAAGGGCAAATAAGTAATTTAATACAAAAAATGTTAAATGAGAAAAAACTTGAAATATAAAGTTGCAAATGAGCAAAAGACTGTTTTTTTTTCTGTTTTACCGGCAGATCATACCAAGAAAAATGATCTTAAAACAACAACAAGTAGAATTTAACAAGTCAGCAACAAACTACAAAACAATAAAACATAAATAGTCTCAAAACAGCAAAACAACAGCAATGGTGTAGCACAATCCCTTGATACCTGATGCCAATTACAAAACCCTTAAGGCGAATTGCATAATATGCATCCGGAGCTTTTTTAGCTTTCTCTGCCTCTCTTATGGCCTTATTTGGCAGCTTAACTTGTGGGAAAAGATACATTGCACCTTCTACTTTGTTGCAGGTAACACCCTCTAAGTTGCTCAGTGCATCTTCCAATGTCTGTAGTTTCAATATGTCAAGGAAAAAGAAATTAAGAATTATCAAGAAATTAAGAATTGCAAACAAATTAACAATTAAATTAAGTAACTGACCTTTGCTCGCCTTGCAGATCTACTTAAGAACAAAATCAAGACAAGAGAGGTTTGTTAGTGCTTACCTGGGTCAAGGAAAAAGAAGACGAGAATACAACGGAAATGATGAGGCCTCAGATGTACGACGGAAATGACGAGGCCTGAGATTTACGATGGCGACGACGAGGTTTGAGAAATTGTACGAAGGGAATCTCCGACTCGTAAGTCTTACCTATCTGAACCAAAAAGATCACGATAGTGGCAAGATGGCGATGACTCGAGAAGGTGAACAATATGTGAATCGAAGATGACGTCCACTGGATTTCTCTTGGCTTAATTTTATTATCTCCTTTGACTTGGCGAGTGTTTGTTGACCTCGATTTCCCAATGCTATCGTGGCTATTGTTTAAGGCGGAGAGATGATGGATCAAAATTCAAAACCGCAAAGAGCGAGAGAGGAGAGGAAAAAGGATAGTGGGATGTTCCTATTCTCAAATTCAATTTTTTATTGTTTTGGTGAATTTTGAACGACATTTGAATGCAGGGTGCTTAAAATTTGGGGGTGGAAATTATATGAAAGAGGGAAATGTAAATTTTATTTTATTTGGTGGGAAATTTAAATTATTTAGATTAACATGTTTATATGAAAAATCATATAGTTTTTATTTTTATTATGTTTTGGCATTATATATATATATATATATATATATATATATATATATATATTCATTTATAAAAATATTTAATTTATAACTAAACATAAAATATTTTTAAATTATATATATCTATGTATTATACTCAAAATAAAATAAATATTGTGATATAATAATTTGTATTTCCAAAACTAATATTTAATTTTTTGTGTGTATGTGT